ACCACTTTTTTAATATATTTTATTGATTATGCTATTACAGTTGTCCCATTTCCCCCCTTCACTCCCCTCCACCCTGTACACCCTCTCCCACCCATATCCCCCCCTTTAGTCATGTCCATGTGTCATACTATTAAGTTCTTTAGCTTCTACATTTCCCATACTATTCTTATCCTCCCCCTATCTATTTTCAACCTATCTTTTATGCTACTTATTCTCTGTACCTTTTCCCCCTCTCTCCTCCTCCCACTCCCCTGTTGCTAACCCTCCATGTGATCTCCATTTCTGTGGTTCTGTTCCTGTCCTAGTTGTTTGCTTAGTTTCTTTTGGTTTCGCTTTAGGTGTGGTTGTTAATAATTGTGAGTTTGCTGTCCTTTTACTATACATGTTTTTTCTTTATCTTCTTTTCTTAGATAAGTCCCTTTACCATTTCATAAAATAAGGGCTTGGTGATGATGAACTCCTTTAACTTGACCTTATCCGAGAAGCACTTTATCTGTCCTTCCATTCTAAATGAGAGCTTTGCTGGATAGAGCAATCTGGGATGTAGGTCCTTGTCTTTCATGACTTGGAATATTTCTTTCCAGCCCCTTCTTGCCTGTAAGGTCTCTTTGGAGAAATCAGCTGACAGTCTGATGGGAACTCCTTTGTAGGTTACTATCCCCTTATCTCTTGCTGCTTCTAGGATTCTCTCCTTCATTTTTACCTTGGCTAATGTAATTATGATGTGCCTTGGTGTGTTTCTTCTTGGGTCCAACTTCTTTGGGGGCTCTCTGAGCTTCCTGGATTTCTTGGAAGTCTATTTCCTTTGCCAAAATGGGGAAGTTCTCCTTTATTATTTGTTCAAATATGTGCTCAATCTGTTGCTTTTCCTCTTCCCCTTCTGGTACCCCTATAATTCAGATGTTGGAACGTTTAAAGATGTCCTGGAGGTTCCTAAACTTCTCTTCATTTTTTTGAATTCTTATTTCTCCATTCTTTCCTGTTTGGTTGTTTTTTTCTTCCTTCTGATTCACTCTATTATTTTGAGTCCCAGTTTCCTTCCCTTCACTATTGGTTCTCCGTGCATCTTCCTTCATCTCTTTTATGGTAACCTGCATTTTTTCATGTAATTTGTGCCCAAAATTAACCAATTCCGTGAGCTTCCTGATCACCAGTGTTTTGAACTGTACATCTGATAGATTGGCTATTTCTTGGTCGCTCAAAAGGATGAGTTTTGAGGGACTGATCTGTTCTTCTGTTGGAGACATGTCTCTCTCTCTCCTTTTTTTTTTTTTTCCGGTCTGGTCACTCTTGTTACGGTGAGGGGCGGAGCCTTAGGTGTTCACCAGGGCTGGGCACCCCAGTCGCTAGATTGTGATGTTGTATGCGGGGCGGGGGCAAACAATGGTGGTAGCTCCACTCTCCGGCGACCCCAGTCCCTTCCCTGGGATCCTGGGTTGCGTGCTCTGCCCTGTTCCACAATTGCCACCTCACTGGGTCTGCCAGCCACCGCTTGCGTACTCAGGGTCCATCCGCTGCAATCTTGCGCGTCCTGCGTCCCGGAAGGCTTACGTGCTCCCAGTTGCCTTAAGCGCCCAGTTCTCCCCATCTCTGCGCCCCGCAACCCACACCTGCTCCTCCTCGCTGCCCCTCCTACCGGTCTGGATGAACGGGTCTACTTCAACTTCTTGGCTGTCCAACTTCCATTCAGATAAATTCTATCAGTTCTGGGTGTTATTCTGACTCTAAATTGTTGTTGTTCTAATCTTGGTTGTGCGTGGAGGTACAGTGCGTCCATCTATGCCTCCATCTTGCCGGAAGTGGAAACCACTTCTTAAACAGAACTTAATACAAATACAACTTAACATGAGAATGAAATAAAACTTTAAAAAACCTATCATCCAGAAGATACAGAAAAATGACTTACTGATAGTAGCAGAAAAAGAAATATTTTTAACTGTACTTATATAAATGCAAAAAAAAATAACTATAATATAGCAGAAAATTCTAAATAGAGAACATGCAAATATTAAAAGGCAAGTGATGATTTTTTAAATGGAGATGGCTGAAAGAAAGAATTTCAGGGACATAAAATGGAAAACTTAAAGTCTGTACAGGATATACAAAAAAGTAGAAACTGAAATGAAAAATGAAGCAGTGATGTGGAAAACACCTAAGAGTTCTTAAAATGTAGTTAAAACAAAAAGAAATGGAAAGAGATAAAAAGCAAAGGGGCATTTTCTAAAAACCTATAGCTAATATCCTACTTAATGATGACAGAATGAATGCTTTCTAACCCTGGGAATAAGGCAGGATGTTTCCAATGTGCCACCCCTATTTAACATCGTATTAGAAGTCCCCCCCTGGCTGGTGTGGCTCAGTGGACTGAGTGTTGGCCTGTGAACCAAAGACACGGTTACCTGTTGGATTCACAGTCAGGGCACAGACATGGCTTTCTGACCAGGTCCCCAGTAAGGGGAACATAAGAGGCAACCACATGTTGATGTTTCTCTCCCTCGCTTCTCCCTCCCTTTTCCTCTCTATAAATAAATTAATTAATTAAAAAAATAAGTCCTACTCAGTTCAGTAAGGCAAGAAAAACAAATAAAAACTGAAAAGACTGGAAAGGAAGAAATAAAACTGTCCCTATTCATGAACAATATGACTGTCTACAAAGAAAATCACAAGAAATCCACACACAAAAATGCAATAACTAATTAGTGAGTTTAGCAAGGTTATAGAATACAAGATCAATATATAAAAATCAATTGTTTCTATATACTAGCAATAAACAGTTAAAAACAAAAATTATAAAAAAGTAGTACCATCTACAACTCAAAAAAAAAACACCACTAAATACTCAGGTAAAATATAACAAAATACATGCAGGATCTGTATGCTGAAGAATGTAAAACATTGACATAAGAAATCAAAAAGGACCTAAATATATGGAGAGATATACTCAATACTGTTAAGAAGTCATTTCTCTACAAAGTGACCTATTAATTAAACAATCTCAATCAAAATCCCAGCAGGATTTTTTATAGATATAGAGATATAGAAAAACTGGTTTTAAAATTATATAAAAATGCAACGAGCCCTGGCTGGTGTGGCTCAGTTGGTTGGAGCATCATCTGGTACACTGAAAGGTATCAGGTTCAATTCCCAGTTAGGGCACATACCTAGGATGCAGGTTCGATCCCAGTCAGTCGGGGCACATAAGAAAGGCAACCAACTGATGTTTCTCTCTCACATCAATGTTTTTCTTTCTCTCTCCCCTCCCCCTTCCTCTCTCTCTAAAAGCAATGAAAAAATGTCATCAGGTAAGGATTAAAAAAATAGAAAAGAAAATGTAAAGAAACTAGAACCAAAACAATGAAAAAAAAGAACATAGCAGACTCACAATACCTGATCTTAAGACTTACTACAAAGTTAACAAAGCTACAGTAATTAAGGCAGTGTGATACTGGCATAAAGATAGACAAATAATGGAACTAAACAGAGAGTCCAGAAAAGACCCACACAAAAATGTCAAATGATTTTTGACAAGGAGCAAAGGCAATTCAGGGACAAAGTGATGTCATCAACAAATTATGTGGGAAAAAAATGAACACCCATATGCAGAAAAAAAGAACTTTGACCTGTACCTTACGCCTTACACAAAATTACCTCGAAATGGACCTTATACTTAAACATAAAACATAAATCTATAGAACACTTTAAAAAAGAATTAAAAGCTTTTGCTCTGCAAAAGACATGTAAGAAAATAAAAAGAAATGTAATATACTAGGAAAAAACATCTGTAAATCAAATATCTAACAAAGGACATGCCTACATTATATAAAGCACTCACAAAACTCAACAGAAAGAAAAGAAACACCCTCTACACAACCAAAAAGAAAAAACAAAACAAAACACATTCATTTCTATCTATACACTGGGATTTGCACCTGTACTAGTCCTTTATATTATACCATAGGACTTCTTTGTCATAATATGGATATAGAGTTAGACAAAATGTTTGAATAGACACCTGACCAAAAAAATATATAAATGGCACATAAAAAGGTAATTAACATATTATTAGGCAAATGCAAATGAAAACACAAGATACCACTACAAACCTAATACAATGATCTTAATGAAAACAACTGACAATACCAAGTGTTGAGAAGGATATGGATCTACAGGAACTCTCTTGTAATGCTGCTGAAATGCAAAATAATACCAATCCTTCAAAGTCTTCCAGAAAACAAAAGGGCAGGGACCACCTTCCAACTAATTTTACAAGGCCAGTGTCACCCTGACAGAAACAAGACATCACCAGAACAGTACAGACCAATATTCCTCATGAACATAGATAGAAAAATATTTAACAAATTATTAGCAAGTCAAATACAGAAACCCATAAAAAGGATTACACATCATGACCAGGATTTAATGCAGGAATACAAAGTTGGCTGAAAATCTGAAAATCAATTACCGGTATGTTAATTCAGGAAAAAAGGGGCAAAATCTATGTGATCATCTTAACCTCCATTAAGGATGACTACAGGTAACTAAAGAGTTCTGTGACCATTTTGTTGCTTTATATTTCTCCCAAAGTGTTCATTTTGTTCACTATTTGTAACTCAATAAATAATGACTACCTTCTGCATGTAAGGCATTCTGCTAGGCACTAACACAGAAACAAATAATTATGTAATTCAGTAAAATTACAGTAAGTTTTATATATAGATATACAGTTAAAAGAATAACCAACTCCATCCAAGGCCTCAAGGGGAAAAAAGATTTTCATTCCTATCCTGAAATAATAGAGACATATTTTAAACTGCAAGTTAAAATTAAATCACATTGCGGTAGCAAACATGTATGAAAATCACTTTATAGGAATGCTGTCTATAACTTTTTTTGGCCTGTCTCTACCTCTCCACAAAATATTATCACCCTAAAAACCCTCAGGTATAATAATCTATGCTATATATTACTGAGAAGTATCTCTGAGGTAATATAACCTATACCTTTTGGGGAGCAAGAATCCTCTGCCTGAATTTTTCGACTGTTTCTTGACCCATGGAAGACCAAGCACTGACAAATGCTTCTGCTTTGTCTTGTTGAAGATGAATGTTCTCTAACTGCTGCTGCAAAGCTGCTGGTTTCACATTGTAATATACTGCCTATTAAAAAGAAAAAAAATTACATATTTTTCAAATATTCATACAGAGGCCTTGATCTATAATCAAACACAAAATTAATATTAAATAATTTAAATCAAAGGAATATTTTACATTTCTATTGCAGAAAAGTTTTACTATTTTACAAATAATATACCATTCCAAGGAAAGGTTTTAGATTAAGTGGTCTAAATTATTCAGGCTAAACTTTTTCAGCTTTATCTGAGATGTAAGCAATCCTAAATCCACTGAACTTCTATGATTTAGCTATGTAAATGGTACCCTAATTAAAAGTTTATTTCCTGGGCTCTCCCACCAGCCCCATTGTGGGTCCAAGCAACCACGCAGCCCAGGTTTGGGAAGGAGGAAAGTCAGTTCCGCAGAGGGTGCAACGAAGGAGGAGCCCAAGAAGCAGATCAGCAAAATTGTCAGCTAAGCTTGCTCCTCAAAAGTAGACACAAAGCCAAAAAAGGCAGCAGGGAAGAATAAATATGCAGACAAAAAAGTGCAAAAGAAAGGGAAAAGGGAGCAAAGGGAAAACAAGCCAAAGCAGCTAACCTTGAACCCAAGTAAGATCTACCTGCAGAAAACAGAGTCTAAAACTGAGGAGAGTTCAGCCTCGGATGAAGCAGAAGAGAAAGAAGCCAAGTCTGATTAATATCATATGCTATGCCTTATCAGTGGTACCTCTCTCCCTGCTTGTACAATCTAGAGGAATATTTTTATCAACTATTTTGTAAATGCAAGTTAAAAAACTTGCATTTCTAGTAGTTCTAGGAACATTTTTAAGGAGGGAATTCAACCTCATCCCATGTTTTTGAAAGTAAATTTTTTAAGAGGTAAAATAGTTTGCTTTTTATTTATTGGTACAGCCAGAAAACAGCGGGATAATAAATATGAGAATCTTTGATTGTCTTGGGTGTCAGCTTAATATTCCATTAGTTTTTACATCCTACAATACAGTACAAAGCATGTTAAATGGCAATTTGGAGTCAGTCATGCATTTAATATGTCCTGAGCATTTTAAATTACTTGTATTCCCATGTGTTTTGATAAAATTGTTTCCTCAAGAAACCTACTCCTTGATTTTAGCTCCTGTCAGAATTTTGCGCACATTGTAACATCTCTGGTGTAGTAGCCCAGTATTCCTAGTAACTTTGTTGATGTGCTGTGAAAGACTGAAAATTTGATTATGTAATACATACAACAGTAAAATGTGAATTAGTGGGACTTTGATGTATTAACATTTGAAGACACTGGTACTTGATGCTCTATTAAGAAAAATTAGCCTACAAATTTTGAGCTGGAAAGTTATTGGAATAACTGTTTAGAAAAGAATCACAACTACATGACTAGGTTTTTGGTACATATGTTAAGAATTGTGTACAAATTAGAATATCTGTTTACTTATCCTCAGAACAACCAATAAAATCTCAATTATGAAAGAAAAAATATTTTCATTTCCTTATTTCACTTAACTATTTCAAAGTGAACAATGGTTTTGTTTCCCAACAAAATTTTCCAAGAAACACTTTCAAAACTACCTTCCCTCTATCAACTTCCTAGATAATATATAATAAAATATAGTAAAAATTTTAACAGTGATATCTGTTCTGTTACTTACATTATTCTGGAACAACTTCTTCACAGACCCCATGCTGCTCTGTCTTATCTGATAGTCCTTTCCTCCTGAAGGCCCACCAAGGGTGGGGCCTTTATGATCTGCGATCTGTGTAAGTGCGCATGTAGTAGATACTTGGCAGCTTGTCCTTTTAACAGTCTCTATCACTAGAATGCTCATGAAGCTCCAGTACTATTTAAAATCTAATTTCACAAGTATTCTATTTAATCAATCAACAGTTTATTGAGAATCCATTTTAAGCCCAGCAATGTGCTAGGTTTATATAAGATGTGTAGGCACATGCGGCGCACACACAAGATCCTGGCCCCCCACAAATTCAAAACAGAAGGAAGTTATCAGTGATACCCATGAAATAATGAAAGACAGGCAAAGTGCTCTACTATGATGAGCCAAAGATAAAAGCAATCCAAATAGGAGAAGACTGCAAGCATAAGAAGGCCAGGCTACAGGGGAAGGAGATGTGACTTAAAGGGAACTGGCAGAACAAACTGAGTTTGGATGAAAAGAAGGGGTGCAGAAAGGCAGCTCAGTATGAAGAAACAGTATGACAAAGTCCTTTGACAGCCACTTCTTTTCTAAATGTTCCATTTATCATCTTAGTCAAATCCCCCAAAATCATTTATTAAAATGTTTAAATAAAGAGTATTCATTTTTCCAAGTTATTATACCAAGTTACAATGAATTAAAATCTTTTATAAATGTCTCAAGTAAATAAAGTATTGATTCATATTGTCACAACACTTTCTTCACACTACTCAATGTTAAGACTGTTTTGTAGAATGCAAGACTGTGGGGATGGGGGGAATCACATATTCAAATTTTTTTTTACTACATTAAAATTCTTGATTAAAATATATTCACAGGTTCCATCTGCATACTTTTAAAAATAGTATACATATCAAAACAATACAAACATACTAAACAACAATGGTTAGAAACTTTGGGGCAATAAAAATACCTGTTCTAAAATGAATGATACTGTTTCAAGAACTAGGTGAAGATCTTGTTTCTCTAGAGAAAATGCAGCTTGAAGTTTTTCTTCCTCTTCTTCACTGAAACTGTTCTCAGCCTGCAGTACAAAAAGCAATCTATTAGCATACATTCAGGTATTCAAAACTCAGCTACTCAGAATGAGGCAGGAGGTAGTCAGGAAGGAAGCTCCCGAGGCCCCGCAGGGCTGAGGTAGAAAACACCTATACATGACAAAGACCCCCTAAGACGGGTTGTTCCTGTTTTCTGGGACAACTCTGAATCATAGAATGCGCCTGCGCACTACCCCTGATTCATTATAATATCATTATAATGAAATAACATTGTGGGACTCCCTTCTCCAGTAGCCAATCAAGAAAGTCATGGGAAACCACGCATGCGCAGTAGCTTTGAAATCCAACTCCTTGTACCTGCGCAGGAAAAGCCCGCCAAAGACTAGCAGGGGGTTTTCTGCCCCTATAAGAATAGAATCTTCCAGCCCACATGCCCTTTTTTTTTCCTCTGCTCAGAGCTGGCTCACTCCCGTGTCCTGTGGTATGTACTATCACTTAATAAACCTCCCCTCTTTCTTTATGCTATAAACTTTGTGTGTTCGGTTCAATTCTTTGTTCTCGATCACTAAGAACCTGGTTACCTGTGCACACCTGTGCACACCTGTGACAGTTTTTGGCGAGCCAGCCAGGAGAAGACACCGGAGTGGTAAGCCCCCTTTGCTGCTCTGACACCCGGGATGCCCTTTTCCGTTATCACCTATTCTGTTTCGGTGACTCTGATGTTCCGTGATGGAAGGTCGGCCGCTAATTTGCGGGCACAGGTCGGGCAGTTAAAAGCCACAAGGGCGCCCGCCGCTTGAAGACTCCTGTGATAGGATAACTTGGATGCGGAGCAGGGGTTAGCCTTAGTCCCCGCCAGGTACAAGAAAATGTCCGCACAACGGTCAGGCACACTGTGGAAAGCACAAAACACTGCCCCCACCCCGCGGCCACTCCCCCAGTAGGCATAGTCGGACCTTCCAAGCGGGATATCAGTCACCACCTCACCTGCACTGTGACTTCCTTTTGCATTCTTTTCATCAGGCCCACGGACAGTCTTTTATGCTTTTCCTCCCCAACTGACTTCTGATCTTTATACCTTCACTCACACCCCACTTGCCTTTTATGTATGAAGGGTTCCTGCTGTCTTTGTACTAAGATATCTACCTTGGGGTCATTGATAGGCTAGCGCTAAGTACAGTTGCAGGAATGAGCCACTCCCATCTTTGCCACGTGTATACTATCATTGTAAGCAGCAACATCGCTCAGAACTGCACAACAGGTGCCTGCTGGTTGCTGGTTACTAGAATGGCTGCATAGAGCCACTCTTACCTACTTAATTTAATTTGGAATTCTAAGGTGGTTTACTTGTTTCTATAAGGGTATTTTAATTTTCCCCTCTCAGTTCATTGTCCCTCCATGAGATCCGCCTCCAGTATGAAAGGTGGTGTTTTAGACATCGTTGAGGTCCCTTCTGGGAGATTTCAGACACAGGTACAATTTCTTAAAGCTCTAGAAAATTACATGGAATATTTAAGGGTCTTCTTTGTGATCTGGAAAAGAGTCATTTTATAATAAGATCATCTTGGTGCTCCTCTTAATGGTTTACAGGGCCAGAAATTATTTTTTTCTAGTAAGACACTTCCTTTGCCCCAGATCTTAAAGCTTACAGGAAAATGAGGGTCCCCGTAGATGAAGAATACAGAAATGGAAATGTACTAGGGCCACAAGGGTAGAGTCTGGGATTTTCAGGATTATAGGCAATTGCTCAAGAATGCAGGACTGGTTCCTTCCCAATAGTTAGAGACAAAAGTAGACTGTGGTGATTCTCTCAAGTCTTTTTCGATTTCTGTCGGCCGACACTCACTAGGATTTCTTTCGCCAGAGACGTCTGGTAGTTCGGTGGGATCCCAGGGGACGCCCTGTGGCCCACTAGGAAGCTCCTGAGGCAAGAAAAGGGGGGGACGCCTCTCGATTGCAAGGGAGTATCTTTCTCACTAGAATCTCTTTCGCCAGAGACGTCTGGTAGTTCGGTGGGATCCCAGGGGACGCCCATGGCCCACTAGGAATCTCCTAAGGGCAGCAAAGAGAGGGACGCCTCTAGTCTGCAAAGGAGTATCTTTGTTTCTTTTCCTTCTCTCTTAGGATCACCGCAGTCGAGATGGGAACTACATCTTCCATCCCTTCCAAATCACCATTGGGTTGCATTCTTAGCAACTGGGATAAATTTGACCCAAAAAATTTAAAAAAAGAAGAGATTAGTTTTCTTTTGTAACACTGTTTGGCCCCAGTATAAATTAGGGGGTGGAGAGATATGGCCTGAGAATGGGAGCACAAATTATAATACTATCCTACAGCTAGATCTATTTTGCCGGAGGGAAGGCAAATGGTCTGAAGTTCCTTACGTGCAGGCATTTATGGCTCTGTACCGAGATCCCTCGTTTTGCTCCAGCCCCACCCTGACAAAACCTACAGGCCCAAGTGTTGATCAATTAGAAGATACCCTCCTTAGCTCCCCACCTGTCTCTCAAGGGAGATTAAAGGGAACCCCAGAGTTCTGAAGTCTCTGCCCCTACCTTAGAGGGAGCGACCTCTCCACCACCTTATGCTATGGGTAACCTAAAGCCACCAGCTGAGGAAAAACCCAGCCCTGCAGGACATACTAGAAGTGGCGCTTCTTATCTCCCTACCACTCCTGCACTCCTACCCTTGAGGGAGGTAGCAGGCCCTGAAGGTGCTATAAGGGTACAAGTGCCATTCTCTATAACTGATTTACAACAATGTAAAGACAGGCTAGGGAGTTTTTCAGAGGACCCTTCACGTTTCACTAGTAATTTCCAGACTCTTACTCTAGCATTTAGTATGTCGTGGAGGGATTTGTACATAATTCTGACCACCTGCTGTTCCCCAGACGAGAAACAGCGGATCTGGGAGGAGGCTCGTAAGTATGCAGATCAGCTGCATACCCAGAACCCTGGCACTAACCAGCCAGCTGCCCAAGCTGTCCCGGACCAGGAACCTAACTGGGAATACAATACTCAGGCAGGGATCCGGAGTAGGGATGCAATGATAGATTGCTTACTGGCAGGAATGAGAAACTGCATCAAGAAACCTGTGAATTATGAAAAGGTTAGGGAAATCTTTCAGGGCAAGGAAGAAAACCCAGCTCTCTTCAGAAACAGACTAGTAGAAGCCTTCCAAAAATATACAAACTTGGACCCTTCATCCCCGGAGGGTCGAATCTTGATAGGGCAGCATTTTATAATTCAATCTGCCCCTGATATTCGCAGGAAGCTTCAGAAATTACAAATGGGCCCGCAGACCCCCCTTAGATCAGCTCATGGATACAGCCTTTTCAGTCTTTAACAATAGGGATTTGGAGGAAAGAAAACAGGGAAAGAAGGAAAGGGAGAGGCAAGCAGAGCTCCTTGCACTAGCCTTTAGTAGTGCCATTGGCGGAAACCAGCCCCATCAGGGGAGCTCGGGGAGGCGGCAAAAGGATCAGACCTGTTATAAGTGCAAGCGCCCTGGACACTGGTCAAAGAACTGCACTCAGCCACCTCCGAGGCCCTGTCCTCTATGCAAGAACTTCAGTTCTGATCCCTGGCACTGGAAGGTAGACTGCCCCCCGTTCCCATAGTGGAAAGGGGTCATCTCCCAAGGCCATGGCTACTCTTGAGGACTGAAGGTGCCCAGGGGAACAGGTCGGCCCCAGGGAATACTCCATATTCCCATCTCTACCGAGGAGCCCTGGGTAACTCTAGATGTGGCAGGTAAGAAAATCGACTTTCTTGTTGATACAGGGGCCACTTACTCTGTCCTTAACTCTTACTCTGGACCTCTTTCCTCCAAATCAGTTAAGGTAATGGGGGTCGAAGGAAATCCTAAGGCATATTTTTTATACATTCCCTATCACTTGCCAATTTGAGAGTCGAATATTCAAACACTCCTTTTTAATTGTTCCTCAGTGCCCTATTCCTCTGTTAGGCCGGGACCTTTTAGCTCAGATGGGAACCATCTTGTTGTTCCCTGAAGTGCCATTTGAGTTAAGTAAGGTGATGATAATCAGTAGTGTTTGAAATCAGGAAGAAATCCCAAGTTCAGTTCTGGATGCAGTAAACCCACTAGTTTGGGAGTCAGGGATTCCTGGAAGAGCAAAGACTGCATTACTGGTTAAAATCCAGTTAAAATGAAAATGTCTTTGTTGTTTCTATTAACCATTCTCTACTCGCCTGCACCCTGTGTAACGGAATGGGATAAAAATTTTTTAGTGAATGCTTCTCAAACCTTAGCAGCAGGAAAAAACCTGGCCCAATGTTGGATATGTCATCCTAACCCAGAAACTCCTTCCAGATATAATACTCATATAAAAGCCTACCCAATAGCTAATGAATCCTTAATCAGTGCTTTGAATTCCTCTGCCAATTACACGTGTTCCTCTTTTTCTTTAAGAGTCACATGGGAGCGAAATCCTCCTTTGTGTTTCCGTATGACCCCACTAGAATTAAAGCCATTTAATTACTCCAGCACCTCTCTTAAGTGCGACAGTATGATGGGATGTACCCCATGTTATAATAATACTCATACAAGGGCCATTGACCCATTTAAAGCCCTGGCTTCTCTTTCAAGTTCCAGCTTTCTAGAGAATCTTTCTGAGGAAGAAATTTTCAAACCTTTAAATTGGTCACATATAGTATGCTACCCGAATTATGATTCTAACTGTATTCCTAATAGTACCCATTGTTGCTTTGACAAAACTCACAATGCAGATACAAACGATACTTCTAAATGTGTTACTTGGAAATTAAACCAATCTCTTCAAGGAGTATTAGCAAAATTTCTACCACCTCCTGCAGGGGAGAAAGATCAAGGAAATAACTTAGGCCCTTTTAAGGACTGCCTTTCCCCCTTGCCATATGCCCTCCTTAACAAATATAACTCCACTAATGCCACAGTTATTGCAGCACCCCCAGGGCTTGTCTGGCTATGTGGGACTCCCAATAACTGGCTAACGGATCATTCAGAACTTCAAGAAGCTATTGCTTAT